CCCCTCGCCCCGCCCCCTTCATCTATCTTCTTCGGCCCGTCGACGTGTTAGAGAATCTATCTCGGTGTAAAAGTACCTGACGAAGACATAAGACGATCGATAGCTCGCGTCTCTTCGTATTCTCGACGTCGTCGAACATAATTTTTGAGTCTATATTCGCTTAAAACAAAAAAAAACTACTATTTATGAAATTTCGTCGACGTACGCGCATCCTTCTTCGGCCCGTCGACGTTACGCGAATAGGGAAAATCTATCTCGATGTAAAAAGTACCTGATGAAGGCGCAAGACGACCGTTAGCTCGCGTCTCTTCGTATTCTCGGTGTCATCAAACACGATTAACTATGCTCATATTTTTTCACCGAAGCCCGTGGAGCTTCGTCGGCATGTGCGCAAAACTCCTCTTCGGCCCGTCATAACGCGACAGGGGAATCTCGATGTAAAAGTACCTGACGAAGGCGCAAGACGATTCGGTCACGTCTCCCCGTACTCGTTGAACACCTTGGGACGTGAACACCGAACTCTCATGCATGCCTGCGAAGCTTCACCGGCGTACGTGTATATTTACTATCAATCTAGTCACAAGTGGAGATTTACGGGGACGGATCTGGTCTGTCGGATTCGCGTTTACGGAGGAATGAGTCAAAGTCTAGAGAGAAGAGAGCGAGAGAAACGGGTTAGTCCGGCCTACGCTTTAAGAAGAAGAAAAAAAAAATACAAAGCATTAAAGACGGTCTCGTGCGTTATTTCGAAAGAAAATTACAGCTATATCGTATAATTATATTGTTATGTCTAGGATTACAATGTACGTGCATTAAACCGGCAAAACTGCAGTGAGGAAGGTCGCGGCAGTGAGCGACCTTTCCCTGTTAGATTTATATCGAGTGTTATCGGATGTCTATTTCGGCGTATCGGTCCTCTCGTTTCCCATAAGGATATATATATATATATATATATATATATATATCCATATACAAACACATATATATATGTACATACATATTTATTATCACGATCATATGCTCGTGTCGCGTTATCTCCTCGACGATCGCCGAACGGATTTACGAAAGAACACAACAATTGCCGTCCTTAGCACATCGATTCGACAAAATCGACTCCGACGTGAACGTCAAAATTCCTTTCGGATCTCAGTACACCTTGTGATAAGCTCTCTCTCGAGAACACCCGAACCGAATTGTTGTCCGTTCGAGCGACGCAGTGATTCTTGAAAGCCAAGTGAGGTATGGTATTCTAACTTCTCGTCTTCGACGGTCATCGAGGACCGCGGGAACGGGTGCGTTAGTTTATTTGCCTGCTTCCTTCTTGTTTAAGTTTTAAAAAAAAATCGCTCGCGACGGTATCGCACTCTTCCATTAATTTTCTCGCGAGTATAAGATACCGGAGTGTTTTTTTTTCTTTTTTAGTTTAGAAAGTAATTTCCAAAGTCGCGCGTGAGTTTTTATTCAGAGATTTTTATCGAAACGTTACTTGTACGGTTTAAATCGACGTCCCTCCAATTCCATATTTATAACTTTCCTGTTATGATAGGTCAGATTACTTACTCGATTTGTACTCCTTTTGTATAGAGCCGGCTTCGTCTGATTAACGGTTGCGCTATACGCACGCCGAACGCCGTTGCCAACCGTTAATTAAACCGTCAAATTCTCGTCGTTAAGATTTTTACATTAAGACGGAATTTATCGTCTAGGTGATGCTTAATTTTTTTTTGTAGTTTTTTCTTTTTCTTTTTTTTTTTACCATTAACGCAATTTGTACTTGCGAGGGAGAACTATCGTCGTCGGGAGGTGCGCATGTTTGGCATGGGGTACCGACATTCGGATTTATTTCGACGATAGTGCTCTGCAACTCGGATTCCCCGATCTGCGATTTATTCGCCGTGAGATTTTTGTAATGACTAGTCACTCGCGTTTAATGCACAAAGAAAAAAATGACCCGCTATTACGCGGGTCGTCGCTATTTTCCTGCATCGGCTACCGGGCACCTGCGTCATATTCTATTTAGAACCAAAGTGACAAAGAGAACTTGTATATTACGTTTGTAGCGACAAACGTCATGTAGCCCGAACGAACGGTTGAGGGCAGGTGCAATGCGTAGATTTGATGCCATTGCAATGCAATGGATTTGATTTTAATGTCAGTTGAATGTAATATTGTTGTATGTATATATAAATGTATGATCGTATGATATATGTATGTATATACATGTACACATACATGTGTATATACATATATATAAATGTAATATTGTTGTACGTATCCAAATAGCGCATTAACAAAAGAATGATATAAATCGTAAATGCAAGAAAAAATGCTAAATGAGAAAGAATTAAAATTGTTGCAATATAGTGATTAGGTGTGAGGCGCTGAAGATACAGGCGGACCGAGTCCAGTTTCGTGAAGACTTAAGTCACGATATCAAGTGTGTCACTTTGATACCTTAGACTCTATAGTATTTTTCATAATTAAAATAAAACATGTATATTTTCTGTGATCACTTCCGTTACTTCACGTTAGTCGCGCGCGTCTTTTCATTACAAACACAATGACTTAAAGTCGCTCGAAATTGGTCGCGGTGCAGCTTGGTCTACTCGTATCCTTGGCGCTTCGAGCGAATAGGATCTCGTGATACCGACGACGGTACCTTTCTAAGATATAAGGGTATATATACATATATATGTATATATGTTACACTTGCATTGTAGAAATAATGTCCTTTTTGTTTCTTCAGACCTACACTTAAAATCCTTAAGTTTAATTTCAGTTCAACGATCTTGATATTAGTCGAGATGTAGGAATATAAAATAGCGATTAACGTCGCTGAACTCGAATGAATCTTGGATTTTATTCCTGGGTCTGAAAACAATAAGAAGAGCGCGTGCAATGTGGAACTCTGTATATCGTCTTATGCCTGTGTGTGATGCACGGTGTCAGATAAAATCAATCCAAAGAGAAGAGAGAGAGAGAGAGAGAGAGAGAAAGTTTCGCGAGAATCTGTAAATAATCAGCATCAGCTTCGCTTTGGTGAACGTTGAGCGGTCACTCTCGTCGCCGTCGGTGCCGTGTACTTTGTAATAACAGAAGTTGTATAAAAAAAAAAACTCGCCGACTCGCACGCGGGGACGAGAGTGATCGTTTGCGAGTGTGACTGGCGAACGGCGTTCGAGGCGCACGGACTGCGATTTTGCCTGCGACAAGAGCGAACGAACGAACGCCTCTCCGTGGCATTTATTTTACTTGTTCTTTATATTTGTTATTTGATATAAAGAAAGTTGAATTAATTATGTTGCCATATACGCATATACACACGCACACGCATACACGATATCGTCGAACATTTGTAAATCGGAAATGCAAACCGCGATGTAAATGCCAATTTTCTTCTCCCTTATTTCTCATAATTTCATATTTTTCGTATTCCTTGTAAAAAGAAAGAGCTTCTTTATTTTATGATTCGTGGATATATTGATTATATTTATTGTATTATTGTTCTCAGAAATGTCTTCTAGCTCTATTTTTATGTAACTACGATAATACAATTTTATAATTATTTTAGTTAATCCTAATAGTTTATTAATCGTACAAAATTTGTCTTCAATTCCTTAGAAATTATCTTTTTTGGCACTTATAGTTTTGCGTTTTCGATCTACAATTAGATCTAGAGATTTATTGTAGTTAAAAAAAAAAAGATCAGATCTAACTATTTTTGTGTCTATGTATTACTCAGCATAGCTTAAGCACATGAATGTACCTTGCGATAATTGACTTTCTTAATATTATTCTACGATTTCCTCTGATAACAGACGGAAGGACAAGAAGAGAGAAAGAGGAGGAATGGAGTGAGAGAAAACAAAGGAAATAGCCGTCCGTAATAAATCGAAAATATAGAAACGTGACCGGCTGAATTCGGGCAAGATATCGAAAGAGGTGATGGTACGTAGAAATATAATGATTGTTGTGTTAACTATAATCCACGTACCATTTCTTGTCTGTCGCAGTATCTTGCTCAATTCAACCGGTTCCACAACTTCCACGTACCATCGCTAAACTTTATCGTTAACTTTATATAGCGAAATGTATTTTATATATATATATATATATATATATATATATACATACATGCATATATGTTACGTTTTTTGTCGTTATCGTTAAAAGGGCTTTACATATTGTGAAAATTCTTGCGTAGAATATCGCGAATCGCTTCGTTTTAGGATTATGTAAAACGCCCTCCCCTCTCACCCGCCCCTCCCCTCCGAATTTACCTCCGAGTATGTATATGGATATATAAATCGCGTCGTGTCGAATCGTTATTAAATTCATTGTTGTCTTTTAAGAGACTTAAATCGGCACTATTTGCGCCAATCCGTCGAAAACCCGGAAAATGCGACACACACATCGGGCGACCGTATACACGGAAACACGTGAACGTTTATTTTTTTATACTTTATCGGATACTCGGATATAAAACCGTTGTGCACACGGCTCCATCGCGGGGGTTGTATAACTGAGGATCTGGTAAAGCATGGCAATGGAGTACCCGATCGCTGCAACGCCAAATAACACGCTCGAGGATCTCGCGCAAGAATTCAACGTCGTACGCTTCGTTTTGCGTATGTACACCGAGCACACATTATTTCGGATATAACTCGCGCGATCTCTACGTTTTGCGTAATTTTTAAATATATAGCGTTTGTTAGTTTTGTACAGCGTTGTTATATTCGGGGGTTCGATCGCTCGATAGTGCAGGGCCTCTAAATGATGAATCTTGTGCATATACAGACAGACGCATAAAAAGTAATCGTCAGAACAATGTGAATCAAATAGGGAAAATACGAGTATGTTGGGCAAATTCTATCAATCTCTGCTTTCTTCCGCGCAGATTCGCGGAATCGTCGGGTGGGAGATCTCGGACGAGAGAATCCGCGCGTATTCGTCCCGTATTCGTCTACACTCCCGACGTCTACTGCGTTTCACAAATTGTGCTGATTCCCGCTTGACAACAATTACTTAAGCCTATCTCGTCGCAATATAGACACGTGGTACGTGGGATCTATGTGCGTGCGTGTGCGAGTGTCGCGTGATCGAGATGATGTGTACGAAGAGCGGTTCCCTTCCACGACTTCTCTTTATACAATTGTGATAGAGAAAAAAAAGCGCGCGTGCAAAATCGGCCGTCCGTTCTCGGAGACAATCCTGTTGACGACTCTTAATTGATCGGGAAATTATATGTTTCTTTTTCCGGGGATAAAGAAAAAGAAAAGAAAGGACATTTGCAACCACGTCACGCGCGCGCGCGCGCGTGTGTGTATCCGTGGGCGTGTGTATGTGTATAATTTTGTTAATTCTTTACTTTTGACGGGGGAAAAAGTCACCGCTCTCTCGCAACTTGCGATCTCCAGTTTTAACGCAAGTCCCGTTGCCAAACAACAAAAGGCCCGTTCTGCACCTGCGCCATTAGATAGATGTATTAGCGAGCGTTATTACGAACGAGCATTATTTATTTCGTGTATTTATAATCTCGTCAAAACTGTAGAAAATATTAACGTTAGTTTATGAATTTTAATTATCTGGTGCTGAAGGCCGACGCACATTTCCTCCGATGCGAATCAAACGCGAAGCATTCCTATTATACGATATGAAGTCTCGCGTGACATCGTAACGCTTCGTTACAATCTCACGGGAGACTTTTTAGCAACATTCTTGTATAGCATACTTTCACAAATACAGATTACAAATCGGAGAGAATATGTGGCCACCCACACGTACACACACACACACACATACACACACACACAAAACACACGAGATAAGTTGCATATTCGATTTATGTAACGTCACGGCTTGGCGATCGAAGGATCAACAATCCATACGTAAAATTATTTTTGTATTTCGTTATTTCGCGAATCTCAGTGATGTGGCTGTAAGTTTACGGCACGATTTTTTTTTTTTGTAACAATTTCTCTAATTCAAGAGGAAGAACGAAAAAAAAATAGAGGAGAAATCTGAGGTACATGAGGACTGAGTCGCGTGTATTTGATGCTTTTGATGTTTTTCCGATGTAGAGAGAGACTTAATGAGGCTAATGTTTATAGAGACCTGGTGCACGAGATATCTGTTTTTCCTGCGGCACGCGTTTTTCCTGTTCCACTCATCGTCCCGTAGGCGCAACTCTATGAAAAAACTCTGTCTAATTACACTCGAGGAAGAACAAAAAAAAAACGAAAAATTGCTTGCTTCTAGCGTACGCCGTCCTTCTCTCTACGTATCCGTATATAAAGAATCTCAGCAATTTAATTGCAAGTGCCAAAACGAGAAAAAAAAAGATGCTGGGGATGCCGGCGCGAGCACGAAAACGTGTCGTCGCATGCGCGACACGCATGCATACACACACTTCTGTACAAATTTTATTAGAGGCAGGGGGGGACGTCGACGGTTATAGTAGAACCTATATAAGCAGACGCGAGGGTGGTTAAAATTATATATTAACATATCAATATAATTATAGTATAGTATATAGTGTATGTCCACGCGTGTGTGTATGTGTGTGTGTGTTGCGTGTGTATGTGTACACATATACACGTGTATGTGCGCGTACATATGTATGTATATGATGTATATATTTATTATACGTATATATGTATTCACACATACACAAGGCATACACTATGTATTTTATATAATTGAGATACGTACGTATTACACACCACAAATCGATTGTCGCGCTCCACGTAGAAAAATCCATTCTATTCCGACGTGATTCAACACGTAACGAAAACGAGCATAATACGCGTATTCGATGGGAAATAGAGAGAAGGTGTGTGAAAATCGAAAGGCGAATAGACAAGAGTGGCGGGGAAGGGCGGGGGGAGGAATAAAATAATTCACAAATACGAACGACGCACGAACGGGAAAGAGCATGTGTCCAAAATGTTGAGATTTATGCATACTGCATTTGTTTATTACCGTACTTTGGCTCTTGACGCTTAAGGGAGAGACGTTACGAAACTTAATGGTTGTTGAAACGTCCAAATAGATGATTATTTGTCGATCACACAATCGATCATCATCATTGTTACTATTCCATTACCACGCCGGCTAGTGTTATCGTTATTGTCATTTTTATTATTACAGTTTTATTATTATTGTGGCGATTATTTAATGTAAAAAGATTAAAAAAAAGAAAAGAATGTACGCGGGTGCACAAAAAAAAAATGATTGCCTCTGTCTTTGCTGTTTCTCGATTTGGTTCCCTCGGTGCCGTGGTCACGAAGCTGGTCACAAAGTAGGATTAGATGAAAAAACAAAGATGCGTATATATTCATATAATATATATATATATATATAAATATAAATATATATTATAATAAAGAGAGATATGAAATATATACTGGCATCCGAGTTAAACTGTCGCTCGTGTCGCACAAATAATTACACGGGCATTTGCCTGAAAGAATATTTGTCTGATTGTTATTTGTCTGATTGTTGTCTAAAGTGTCTCAAATATAAAGCAAAGGCAAGAATAACCGTGTCCTTGTTCAATTTTTCTTGTATCGCACACGCGATATCCTCCATTAATTTCATGTATTGATTTGTATGAATAAAATTAATTTGCATGAAAAAAGTAATTTGCGTTTAGAGCAATTTCTATGACTAAACAAACCTTTCCGGTATATTCTTGCTTAGAACTTAGAAAAGAAATGAGACCATAGATAGACCATTCTATTCAATTTTCTTTACTATTATTTTTCTATTTTAAACAAGAATCACAGCCTGTTCCAATCGCGTGACTCACAGGGTGTAATTCTTGTTTATATATTTCTTGTTTATAAATTAATTTATGTACACATATACAGTATGTATATATATATTTTCTATATAATACGTATAAGTATTATATAAAATAGAAAATATATGTATTTTTCTATTAAACACGTTTATTTATTTGGTTCTTTGTTTGTCGATATAAAAGAATAATAATAGAATATATATATATATTTATTTATTTATTCATTGATATATATATATATATAATACGTATGTATTATTTTTTTTATATAATACGTAGGCGCGAATGTCCCTTGCACTTACAGCAATGACGTTACGCGTTGGTTCTCCACTCACTGTGTTGTGCGGCCATTTCGAAACGTTGATGTGCGCAACGTTTGCGATCTCACACCTGTCTATATATAGTTGTATATTTATATACACACAGCGTCATTGTTTCCATATACATATATATATATATATATATATATATATATGTGCATGTATATCATATATATATCAATAACATCGTCAACCAATAACTTATACTTCGCTTGAAGCTACGTGTGTGGCAGGGCGCCATCACTTAAATAACATGCATGCACGCGCGCATCGTTCTTATAATTAATCACGCTCTCTATGTATGTGTTTCTCTCTCTCTCTTTCTCTCTATCTCAAACGCTCTCTCACGCACACAAAAACGCAACGAGAACCATTCGAAATATATCTAAGGGATGTCTGAAACATTAGGATGTCCACTGGGGATTTAACTTCTAAGACATTCAGGCAAGAGTCCAAAGGGGTTCAACGCGATCAAGAGATGTCTGAAAATTTTAAGAACTCTTCTTCCTTAAGAACTTAAATTTTCAGACGTTCTTTAGGTGCCTGTCACTTTCACGTTGCCGGCATGTCCGAGAAGCAAGGTAATAAATTCACAGACGTCCCTCAGATGTCTTTGAAAATCTCGCGTTCTTCGGGCACTTCTCACGCATACGCAAGCGTCATGCATACCGTATAATAACATGAAACATAGTCTCACTCGGTTTAAACGGCTCTCTCGAAGACTAAAGACTTCCGAAGTGGATCACAGTCTGTCTCTGCACACGTCGAGGTTCCGCCAAACTTTCAAGTGGAAACGATAACTAACAAAACAACCATCTCCATCGCGCTCTCGTCGCGACAAAACAGCGCTTCTCTACGACGTTCCTGAGAATGTTCAAGAATATTTGCAGTTTTCCTATAAAACTCAACAGTTCTTCAAAATTCATTTTTTTAAATTATACACGATTTTAATACGAATCGAAATTAAAAACTCTACTAAAATCATAATTCAAGTATACAATAAATTATATATATATATCACTCCGACGCGAAATATTAAAACTAAATATTATTAAATAATTATTATTAAATGTTAAAAGAAATGCAGTTAGTTATCTTCTTTTTTTATTTTTTAAATATATTAAGTAAATATTAAAATATATGTATAAATATATATATATATATACGTAAGTACATAAATTAAAAAAATGTAAAATTAATAAAATTGTCCTCGTATTAATGAGGACGCGATTGCATTCTGACAAGAGACTACTGAACATTGGAGATACTTGCGCGCGCAACTTATTATCAGTTTTACAATGGAACGTTTCTCATATATTTACATACGAGCAAATTTCGTCTCTCGAATTAAAAAACTAAAATATATCGACTGGACGCAATTTCGTATTTTCTGACAAATGCGGGCGCGTCAATCGCGCGGATACACAATGGATACGTTGTCGCTTATTCTGTTTTCTTTATTTCTAATTTAGCGATTAACTTTATACGCGAAGAAAAGTGACGGTATATCGGGAGGATTGTCTGAAGAATGAAGATCAGTCGATTCGTTTACGTTTGTCGCACATCCAATTTGTCATTAAAGATTCGTTAAGGCTGTGCAAAAAAAGTACGTGATTCCGCGAATTAAACATTTCGTAAAATCGTTTAAAATAATCTTTGCATCGAAACAACTGATTCTAACATCAATATCGTTATTCGATTCGTGATTTTTTATTTTATTTTTCTAAAAAATTAATGTCTGAAATCCGCGCGTATCGAGAAAATAAGTATTAATAAAAATAATATTCATGCAGTATTAAGATTCATCGCGTATTAAAGAAATAAGTCTTACTGTTAATCATTGGATTTGCGGCTGTTGTGAATTGTTTAACGATACATAGTACAATTGTTTGGTGTATATAATTTTTAAAAGACATCTCGTTAAATATATTATTACAAATCTTAATAAATCGGTTTAGAAAATGATCTTCTGGCGGTTATACCTTCGCGTTTCAGGAAATACAGTGGTGATCGAAAAGTTTTTGGATGTCATCATTCAATTTTTTAAAATGTAAAATGCAAATGTTTCAACAAAAAACATTTCTCGTATCAGAGTCTTCTTTAAATAATCCTTTTTAGATTCCATTATTGCGAATCTATATTGTCGATAATTATAGTGAAGTGTTGACTACCACTGTATCGTCGTGTTCCAAATCTGACTGTGTTTGTGTACAGGAATATAAATATTAACAGTTAAATGCTCAGTCAAACGTTTACTCACGCTCGGAAGATTGCATTTTTTTTTTTTTTTGGTCGCTTCGTAGATAATCGCGCGGCTTCTTAATCACTCACCTCAGTTGATATTAACTGATATGCCGGAGGGATAAACACTGTCGATTGGAATTAACGATGTATACGGAACAATTGCTTGAACGTTAAATATCGCCGTATATAGCTCTCTTTGTCTCTCTCTCTCTCTCTCTCTCTTGCGTTAATATTTCCGTGCTGCAAAAATCCTTTATCAAAAAACGGTGGCGGCGGTCGCTCGTAAAAAAGGCAACAATGATAACGTTCGCAATAGAAATAGGAAAAGTCCTCGGGCAACTTTCCCTGCGGTCAATAACTCTTCTAATGGCAGTTATTTATCACTCATCTCCCTAAATCGGCTAAAATTCGCGGAGACTAAATCTAGTCTTTGACGTTTTCTTTCTCTCGGAGATCTAAGCTAAGATCCAATAAATAGTGGAAGAAATAAGTATTCCTAAGCTCTAGTGCCATCTTTACACGGCGACTCGCTCGTCGCCCCGAATAGGCCCGCTCGAAAAAAAAGCATAAATCAATTTGAAACTTCGTCCCGTATATTTGTATTCCTATCTAATGTCGCATTTATTGCCGAATGCGGCTTCTCCGAAACGAGACAGAAGTCTGACGTTTAAAGACGATCGGGTTTGCCTTTCCGGATGTCTTTTCGTGACGCCTCCTAGACACTACATTGTTCAGATTTAATCATGCGAGGATCAGACAGCCGCATTTAGCATTAAACGTGTAACGCGTTTATATATAATATAAATTGTCTTATCGCCACAACCTGATACTAAACGTCGTTTCTACGTATTTCAATCTCGGAGCAGATCGCTAAGATAGCTACATAGAGGGAACCGCCTCATCGCGGTGGACATGACGAAGCGCGAAATTTGGAAATTAAAATTCACTGTGTACATGCGTATCTCTTATAAAATAGACACTGGCCGCTACATGGCGTAGTGTGACGTAATCTCGAATTTTATGGCACTTGGTAATGGAACGTGCGGTGGCCGACAACGAAAACTCGATAAGCAGCAGGTCGAAAGGAAACTTCATTTTTAACTCCCCGCGACGGAGGGGGGGGGGGGAAATCACCTAGCCATTCTAACTAGCTTGCGACTGTATTACCGGAGCACCTCTATGTAACATCGAAGCGGGCCGAGATTTTCGTCCGCCGGCCGCAGACGTCTGCAGGCTCGCAGGCGGTTGCTGATGCTGTTGATGCTGGTGCTGCTGCTGCTGGGCGGCCAACTGTTGAGCCATCGTCGAGTCCCGCCTCGGGATTTCCGGCGGTGACTGAAGCACCTCCATGTACTCACGGATCAGATTTGCTATCTGATGAGCCTGAAGAGTAAAACAATCGATTTGAAGTAGACATTGAGATAAAACGTGAGATAAAATCTGGATAGTGTATACAAAAAAAATCTGAAATTCTTAGGGAGTTCTTTTTTGCTTGAAAAAATTTTCAATCTCAATTATATCGGGAAATTTTCATCGAAAATTTTATCTCTTTGAAAACTCTTTGTTTTTTCTTTTATTTTGCGAATATCAAAGTATATTCTTAGTAACTTAAATGCTATTTAATAATTTTTTTTATTTAAATGTTGATAATTTATGGCAATTTTTATTTTATATCATTGTTTTATTTAATTCTTTCATTTGAAGATGTGGACGAAAATACCTGGAAAATTGGGGAATTTTCAATGAATTTTTTTATCAAGATTTAAACAGATATTTTGAATGGCGACATTTGATCGTTTGAATCACATTACCTGCGACGTGGTGAGGATGACCTTGCTCTGCTTCTTATCCGTACCGGTAATGATCATGAAGCAATTAACGGCGGGCGTATAGCTTAGAATACTGTTATATTCGTAAGTACATAGCGCGTTTCTGGAACGGTGCTCTAGGAGATGTAGACCCTGCTGGTCGACGGCCAGCCAGAGGACACGAGGCCAATTCGAAGTGAACGATTGCATCACGTCGAAGATCGTCGCGCGATGCAACGGCCACGACTGGATCAGATTTAGGAAAGCCTTCTTTGCCTCCGGCGGCGTCATTCCGCGCAGGGATTGATGATGCTGGCGCACACCGTCCACGCACAGGCACGGCACCAGTCTCGATGATAGGCAGTGACTCGATATCGTTCGATAATCCGGTTCCGATATAATCTCCTGGCAATCGCCCAATTCCAACTGCGCTTGCAATGCCGACAACATCATCTGAAAATGATATTAATCTCGTGAAATTTTCTCTGAGTAATTGATAATAACGTAGAAAGAAATACAAGCAATACGGAATAGCAGCTCATTAATTTGTGTATACAAAAAATATAAGACTAAATTATATTTGTTGTATAATTATATTCAAATAAAGTAAAATAAAAAAAGATGAAATTAAATATAATACATAAAGAAAGGATACAAGATCACAATCTTGTAAATTGCTGATTTTTTGATAACATTTATATGTTGACATGTTGATACATATTTTCGTATGTAAAATAATTATCAAATTTTGAATTATGTATATAAAAAAATCATAGTTCCATTTAAAAAATTACTTAAAAAAATTTTATTAAAAAAGATGTTTCCAACTGATGTTGATATCTCATGAAAACACATGTTCTAAAAAACTTATGCATTGTTTATTTAATAAGCTTTTCAAAAATGCTTTATTTTTAATACGTTTTTTTTTAAAGATCCTGATTCTTGTTTTTCACTCTAAATGAAAATTGAGCACAGAGAGCGCAATTAATTGATGCAACGGTTACTCACGGCTTCTTTCTCAGTGATAGGGAACCGGTCGGCCCGCAAGTCGTGCAGCACTTGATGATACAATAACTCCTTTTCCACGGGATCGTCTAAGTTCATATATTGATCCAAGAACAAATGTTTCTTGAACAGGAAAAAGTGATGCGCATGCTTGCGTGCCTGACCTTGCTGCGACGCTCTGTACCGTTCCCACTTGGACATAACGTCGGCTATCTTCTCCTCGGGAATCAGCGATCGGTCGGTCGGTCCCAATACCTCATAAATCGCATAGCCTGACAAAGAATAGAAACAATAGCGATATAAATCAATGAAACAAATTTATTTCAAACTAACTGAAATAAATTATACGTATAAGATTTGCAATATTTTAAAATTTCGCAATTGAAGATGTCAGTAATTAGAGCACGTGATATTGTAACTCTGGCGACTAGAAATCGAAGAAAAAAAAGAATTAGGGCAACGATAGGAAGAGATATAAAAAAGATGTAGGAAAGAGTAAAAACACCGAGCATACCCATAGCGGTCTCCTCGAGTCCTATCTTCGCCTTTATGATCTCCATGACGTCTCTGGCGGTCGCGGAGGGATGAAACTCGACGGCGTGGAACTGACCGTCCATGAAGTGGAATCTCGCGTAGATCGGCCGGCGATTGATGGTGCACATGATCTCCTCGCGACTCGGCGGCCACTGCCGCCTGCGTGTGCCCTGAGTCTTGTAAAGGCACTTTTCTGCGAACCTCGCGTACTTGCCCTCCTCGGTGACGTAGTCGGTGGCGCATCGTTTCAGGTGCGCGATCAAGTACTTGCGTATGGTCTTCTGAGGCGGCAGAATCACGGAGCACGCGAGCGAGAGCAGCGCCCAGTGTCGCAGATTGACACGATTGTTGGGATCCGGGTGATCGGTGGTTTGCTTGATCAGCTGGAGATACAACTCGCCCAGCAGGTTTTCCTTTCGTATGCAACGCTCCATCACGGTCTGTATGAGATTCACGTGCTCGTCCTCGACCCTGCGTACCGTGTCTCCGTTCTGTCCGAGTCCCGCGTACGTCAGAATCAGCTGGAAGATATTCAGAGCCGCCTGCTCGTCGGGATCGGGCAGTTTCGACAGGCTCTGCGGTATCTGCTGCCTGCTGAACGCCCAGTAGGCGTACGGGAAACCCTTATAAGTCTCGCCGTGATCGGCGCTTTCCTGCCTGAGCTTCTCGATCCGGTGCTTCGACAATCTTCTCAGCGTGTTCCGGAGGAAACCACCACCGGAATCCTGCGGCTTCCTGAGGATCTCCGTGTCGATCAGGGTTCGCCGGCAGTTGACCAGATTGTGATAGAGCCGGATGCGATCCTCGTTGGTGATGCACTTGAGCTTCGTGGGCACCTCGTTCTCCGTGATCCAACCCGCCAGCGCCGAGCAGTAGCTGACGATCAGACTGCCGATCTCGTTCTTCTGCGGCGTCTCGAAAACGAAACACTTGTGCGAACTGTCGGGATTATGTCGTAGCAGCGAGAGTGTGATGAACGAGTCGCTCGGATCCAGCATGATGCTCTCGACGTCCTGGTAACGATACTCGGACAGCACGAACTTGTCGTCTGGCTTGATTAGCATCAGACCGTCGCAGTTGATGCCGAGAATCAGCTGGTTGCCGTAAGACCAATACCCGCGGTAAGTCACGTTGAACATCGTTGTGCCGTAGAGCGGGTATTGCATCACGCAGGAGAGATACAGAACCTTGGCGGCGAGCTCCTTGCGTCCGGCACCGTATTGCCGGTGCGCCTGCGCTATGATCGGCACCCAAACGTCGTCGCCGCGGGCCCGACTGATTCTGTACGGCAGGAAGCTGTCCACCTCGCTGTAGTAATCCAGCCTGTCATTATCCTTGGGATCGCCGAGGGACACCTGCGCCTGCAATCCTGCCAATTGCAACGCCACTTTCTCCGACACCGGAAAATCATCGCACTGAAAAGAGATAGACAGCCATAAGAATAAAGATAACAATTGTACAATTAATTTGTTAGATAACGAAGCAAATCGAATGTACCTTTACGACGTTGTAGACCGCCTGGGCGTACAACATATTAACTTCCACGGGATCCTGCGAGATCTCTCTTGGATTGCGGAACAGCCTTCGTTTGAAAACGAAACGATTGTCGCCGCTGCCCAGAGTAGGGTTGTTGCCGCGCCGCAGCGTCGAGAATGACGACTGTGCCGTATTCGATTTGCTGTTCCTGCAATTATAGATATGTTATTGTACAACAGTTCGACGTAAATAATTACGTTCACACTTACATTTCCCACGCGGCGATCACGTCGTACAGATAATCGTGAGCCCGCACGTGCTCCTCTCCGTCCGGTCTGCTTTGATAGATGGCCCAACCCTCCAGCGACCGAAGGCCCAGCTTTTCTCCCAGTTTGGCGACGGCATCGGCGGCCGTGTCGGTCGGATGCACGTCGATCGCTTTTGTCCTTCCGTCCAGGAAGAAGAATCTGCATACTATGGTGCCCAGTCGTCTCATGGCAGCTATCTCCACCGTCGACGGTGAATGCTGCCTGCAAGATACCTTGGTGTTCTTGCAGTTGTCCACGCACCATTGCACGTACTGCCTCAGCTTGCCCTCGAGGGCGAGATTCTTTTTCAGGAAGGAGACAAAGTACTTGTAGAGCAGCTTGCTCGGCTGGAAGGCGACGATCGCCAGACACAATAGCAGCCACACGCGCTCCGCCCACTCGGTGTTGGGATTGTTCGTCGCTTGGCGCATACATTGCACGTAGATTTCATCTCTTAACTCCTCCCGCTCGATCCCAAAAGCAATGATAGTCTGAATCGTGCTTATCTCTAGGTCCAGCTTCATCTCACCGCGAATGTACTTACATAAATCCTGCGAAAGGGGATAATATCGTGCGTGATTATATGTAATTGTAATAAGCTTCAAAAACTTTAAATTGACAGAAAAGAATTTTCTATAAGTTTTTCTAACATTATTATGTATAATGTTGAATAATTTCAGAAGAATAATTTCCTGAAATTGAATAATTTCCTCGAAGATGCTCTATCAACTTTAAGATCGTCGCGTAAATCAACGGCTTCAAATTATTGATAAATTATTAATAAATAAATATATTTACTTATTTACTTATAACAAAAAATAATTATTTTTTTCTTTGAGTTTTCTGTAAGTGTATAATTATTGCCGACGTACCCTGAACACGGAACACGCAACGTTCACGTTGTCGGGATCGTACATATGAATATGCGAGTTTGGGATGCTGGATCCTTTGTAGTACGTGACCATCTCGTACTTCGGAATAAACTCGATGCTCTTGCCACGGGACTTCCTCGTCAGCGTGGCCATTATGGTGCCCTCCGGCGAACGTTCGTGGCTGTTGAAGTAATTCTGCGCGAACTCCACGATGTCGTGATAGGTCGCCTCGATCTCCTGCTCCTTCTTGTCCTCGAGCTCCTGCAGTTTTCGCTCCACGCGGCACTTGCGCCGCTGCTCGCGCTCCACCGGCAGCTGCTGCTGCGCCTGCGATTGCGGCTGATCGTGGCCGTTCTGCTGCGCCTGGGGTATCGTCTGATGATGATGATGATGATGATGGTGAGCGTGATGGTGACCGGAACTCCTGGACTCCGGCCTGGATGGCGGACTGCCGGCGATTTCCTTGGTCATCTTGCCACCGGGCGGAGGCGGCGGCGGCGATCCGCAAGTCTCGCCGTTCACCATCTGGCCCGGACTGCCGCCGTTGTGGATCGGACTGCCGGAATCGTTCGCCTCGCGCGGCAACACGGACTCGTAGATCGGCTCGCCGTTGTCGCTCGACGAATCGCCGTTCACAGCTACAGGCGGCGCCGGGGGTGGCGGCGGCGGTGGCGGTTCCGTGGGTTCCGGAAGACTCGGTTGGCCGAGCTTGCTGCTAGTCATGCTGCTATTCGCGCACGGCGCCCGCTGTTGCTGCTGCGGAGACTGCACTTCCTGCCCGTTCATGGGAGAAGCGACCTTCGACTCGGCCTTGGCATTCAATTCCAACTCTTGTTGAATAACATTCTCCAATTCTACGTCAAGGTCCTCCACCAACTCGTCCATCTGTTCCCCGATTTCGTCGATAATTTGATTGCTCTTAGTTGATTGTACGTCGGATAGGAAGGAAAATAGATTGTCAAGGTCCACCGATTGCAAATCCGTGGCAGCCATCTTCGAGTTCATCTGCTCGGCCATCTGCGACAGCGCGTCGATCTCTTCTTGTACTTTCCTGTAAAATTGAAAAGAAAATTGAAATGTATTATCATTGATGTTTTTTTTTTCCGACAGTATAGATGCTGGTGTTACGAGCAAAATTAATTTCGTGTAACGTTGTTGTGTAACGATGTCACGAACGAAACATTCGATGCAGTGAATCGAAAATTAATGATTTGGAAAAATCAACAGAGAGGTACAAGTTAGGAATACATAAATTTTAGCTATACTTATACATTAACTAATCTAGAATAGTTTAGTATTTATAATATGCTAACTACAGTAATTTTACGTTTCTCTTGGAATATAGAAAAAAATATTTTATATCGTTTATTGTATTCATATCGTAAAGTTTCGTGCTTTACGCCGTTCTTCTATCCAACTCCCCAATTAAGTGAACGTGTGATTTTCTATGATGTAACGTTTAATATCACAATCAGTGTTTAGTATAAAACCATGCTTGCGCGTATCAAACGGGGAAGCGATAACGCTCGCACACGTTTGAGGCACACGCGATGATATACTTAGCATGCAACGAGTGTGCATGCCGTCATATACACGTCACACGATCTTTTCCATCGTTGCGACTTACCCGGATTCCATCTCGGCAATACCATCGTACTGCGCGCTACAAAAGGAACACAAACGGAAACGATTAACGCATACAATCGGCACGGATTAATTAATCGGTTCCATCGCGGTTATCTTACGCGGAGGACTACCACTATCGTCGCAAGCGAGGCTCATGGAATTTAGGAAATTCGAATCGGCACTGATCTCCCATACCTCTGGCTCTCCTCCAGCGCCTTCTTGTCCTCCATCATCCTTCGTTCCTCCTCCAGCCGTTCCCTCTTTCTCATCTCCTCGTCGACTCGTCGCATCTCTCGCAGAGCCGCGGCCACTTCCCTCGCGAAGACACCTCGCAGATGACTCTGGATCACTATGGCCGCCCTGCGTTTCCTGATAAACATTATCCGCAGCTTCCAACCGCGGTAAGCATGCTGCATCTTCAACGTCGCCTCCCTTACACGTTTATATTCTGTCGGAATAGAGAATAACAATTTCTAATTACAATACAATTCCCAAACAAAATTTATTAATTATTTCAAGTAAATTAAAGAAGTGTGTATAACGCAGTTTAATTTTAATTTCTAAATTTAGAAAAAAATATATATATATATACATTTTCTAAATTTGCTGTAGAAGAAAACGCAGACCGTACCTTGCCGTTTGGTGTATCCCCGCCAAATCTTCTGTATCACAATCGCGTTCCTCGTTATTACTTGATTCCTGGAATCCTCCAGAGGCTCGTGCACGCGGCTCCGCAGGAACACCTTCGTCCGGCCGATCTGCCATTCAGTCTGCGGTATATTTTGTCTACTAATTAGGCATCTGACCGCCTCCTTCTCGTTGTAGGAGAGCGAGGATCGGCGCTTGTCCAGGCAGCGATATCTCGTGACGAAGTCTTGGAACGACATGTGTATCGGGAAGCCCTCCTTGCGTATGCGTATGATATCGAGCATACCGAGATACTTGAGCTGATCCATAACGAGCTTCTCGTCGTAGTTGTTCGCCATCTTCTCCATGTTCGGTTTGATGCAGCGCACGTACCACGGCGTCGTTCCCTGCAGGACGTCTACCAGGGCCTGCAACTGGTGCCGGAACGAGTCGCAGAGGGTCGGCTTGCCCTTGGACGTTCCTCGCGACATCGTGGTGGTTGTGCCGCCGGTCGCACGCCCGACAGTACATCCCAATAGATCCTGATAGACGCTGATCTCCTGCACGAACTCATTCGTGCTTCTGGACATGAAGTCGAAGAACACGTCCTGCTGCACGTCCCGATTCTTGTCGACGAAACCCTCGACGGTGTACGTCACGCAGCCGGCGTAGTGCTTGACCCCGAATTCCTTCTCCCATTTCCGCCGATCGTCTCCCTTCACGTAGCACGGGTGGCTCTCAAACTCAGCGTGCAGGTTCGTCAGATAAGCCAGATCCGAGCCCTTGGGCATATGGCACTGCTCGGTGAGTAACTTAAGAACACATCGCGGGGGTTTCTCGATCAACTCCAGGCACATGGTGTTGTCCGTGAACGTGATATGGGAGTACTGGATCTCTTCTTGGTGATACTGAAAACACATTCATCCGATATTCATTTATTCGTTTACAAATAATAACAAATAAATTGACACATAACACAAAACGGAGACGAGGGATAAAATAAAGTTCTAAGGCTCTTAATTTTCGTTTGCTGGGCGTAGCGTTCAAATTGTTTTTTGATTATATAATTATATATAAAATTAGAAAATATTATATTATTTTGATTATATAAAAACTCTAAGTATTGAAATAAGCATACCAGTTCCTGCTCCAGCGCGAAGACGTAGTGATTGAAGAACTTGTGCAGCTTCTCGTTTGTATAGTTGATGCAAAGTTGCTCGAAGCTGTTCAGCGTAAAGTTCTCGAAGCCGAAGATGTCGAGTACCCCGAGGAACCGCGAGATATCCTGGCCCGGGTTCGTGCAGTTGTTGATGTGGTTGATGAGCCAGACGAAGGTGCGGGAGTAGAGCGCCTTCGCCATCGCGTGCCTGTTCTCCCGAGCCTCCTGCACCTTCAGCGGAATCTCCGTGATGTTACCGCGGACGTTTATCTGTCGTATCAGCACCACCTTGGTGAGATCCTCCACCTGGAGGCCCAACAGCGGCGCAACCGTGTCGACTATGTTCCCGTCCTCCTTCGACAACTCGCACTTCTCGCCGTCGACGTCCTCGAAGCTCAAATTGCCGAGCCACAGGATCGCCGACAGAACCCGGAAGATGCCTTCGCACATTTCCGCCGGGATCTGCACGTAGATGGACGAATTATTTGACAATAATAGGAGATAATATACCGTGGGAAAATTCTCTTTCGCGGGCAGGGGAAAATACCTGAAGCACATTGAAGGCGAGCCTGAGGGAGTCGAGCGAGAACCTTTTCGAGTCGGAAATTCCATCGAGCTTCACGCAGCCGGACTGATTGAGATATTTGTAGTGGCTGGCCGGCCTCAGCTTATATTGCTCCGCGAATTCCTTGTCCTTCGTGCCGGCCTCGACTAGCTGGTAGAACACGTGATAATTGCGCTCCCCGGGGCTCTGAAAGGTGATGCGACTCTGCTCCAGCAGGTAGTCCTGGATGATGCATCCCTTGATCATCCACTTGTTGTCGAAGCACACCTGCATGAACTTGCCGAAGCGCGAGCTGTTGTCGTTCCGCACGGTTTTCGCGTTACCTGTTTTCCACATGAATAAAATTTTCCTTGTTAATTACTCCTCCATCGCGCTTTATTTGAACACAGTGAGAGAAATTTAAAAATATCACAAATCAAAAATTTTTTAAGAATTAATGTTTAAAAGTCTCACGGTAATATTGCGTCAAAGGCAGTTTAATTCTGTTTGGTTTACATTGTACTTTTAGAAGAAAATATTAAAAATATTTTTATTAAAAATATCTCAATTTAGATATGGAGGACAGGAAAAAGGGGAATGTATTTCCAAATTTATTTAGGTGCGAAAACTACGTGACGGAAATAAATGAGAATAAGCTGGATTTAAAGAAGAGGTCATTATTTCACGCAGGTGAATAAACGACGCCTGCAGTCTGATGCGTTATATTCATAAAACTCTCTTTTGCCTCGTGACCCATTTCGTTTTACCCTCGTCGCCGCATTTAACACCTGAACTGCCGTCGCAGCACGTACCTAGACTTCGTTTAATAAATCGCGGCTGTTTACTTCTGAACGCATGATTAGGATCTACTCTATCGTCTCCGTTTATCTTCGCTTCAGTCGGAACGCCGATTCTTGTTTAACCGTCTATTACCGTGACGCGATGTAATTCAATCCTGGACGAAGTTGTTCTCGGAGATATATTTATTTTTAGCCCCCGTCGTTCCTTTTCTGACCTTTTAACAGTTCTATATATCGAATCTTAAGTAAGTTTACGTATTTTCGCGAGTTCCCGATTTATACTCCTTTTTAGACCCCTCGAGACCTTGAGATCAATTTTTATCAGTGGAAATATCAAATGGTCACAATTGTACATCCAATTTTATAATATAATATAACGTATTTTCAGCATCAAATATCTCCAAGTTTAAGATTATAAATAATGTCTGCTAAGTTTAGTATATTAAAAATGTTAATTTAGTAATAAAAAATATTTTGTATTTATTACAAAGATCAACAACGTTATTGTTCTTTATAACTGTTGATTAAGCTCGTTACACTAATCACGTCATGTTCCGTCGTATCGATTCAGAAATTATTTCATCATAGTAATTAAGGAATTGATTGGATCAAATTAATAAGATTAAAAGATAAAATCCGTGTTCCAACGGTGGGTCGAGGCGGAGGACTTCAAATAGATATTTCCCGATAAAGCTGCGTAGAGGATGAGATACTTCGGGAGTACGTGACCGCGAAATTGCGAGCGCGATTACATGATGCTAATTTCTGGAGGGGCTGGATGTTATTAACGGATAATTACCAAACGCCTCGAGGATGGTGTTGGCCTCCAGGATCTGCTGTTCCACCCACGTGTCGACGTTGCTGGTAACCGAGCACAGGTACTGCAGGATGAACTTGGTGGTCTCGGTCTTGCCGGCGCCGCTCTCGCCCGATATAACGCAGGACTGGTTGCTCACCGTGTCCTGCAGGGACTTGTACGCCGCTTCCGCCAGGGCGAACACGTGCGGCTCCAAGGCGCCCATCTTCTGGCCGTGGTATCGATTCACGTACTCCTGCGAAAAGACGTAGAAGACGCCCTTTTCGGGTGAAACGGGTTCCGGCCGTTAACGAGGTGCCGCGCCTCTTTGCCGCATGACCTCGACTGAGAATGGACGGTTTTAAAAGCCTCGCCCGATTCCGCGAATCGGGCATTCTTGGCCGCACGAAAAACGAAAGGCGAACACCTGGTCTATTCTGCTAAAGTGGAGAGAGAGCTTCACGGACGTTCGCGGACGCCGATAAAAGACTGGCGGAACCTCCAAAGGGGGTCAGCAAATCGTTAACTCTCACGTTTGAGAGGTCTTACATTTTTTATGAAGTTCAAGATAATTTCATAAAGATAAAAAATTTAACGTTTCATAAAACGAACATTCACCCCTTTCAAAAATATGAGATACGGTCTTCCGTAAAATGTTAACATTTAAATATTCTCTACTCGAAAAATGTATTAGAAATTGTTTTATATTTATTTCGAAAGAGATATTTTTCTTTAAAACAAAACAGAGAATTTTTCTAAAATAGCATTTTGATAGTTATAAAATAAAAATTAAATCTTTGAAAAGATCATTTCGATATTTTTCAATTCCAGCCAAATTTCCTGATTCTCCGAGAGTTTTAGAATTTCCAAATATTTTTGATATTATTAAAATAACATTGCATGTACATCTTTCGTAAAGCTGAATAATATTATATGTATACATAGAACGAACTGCTTATACAGTGATTACATTTGACGTAAAATGAAATGTACGTAATGGGCGTGCCATGAATTTTTTTCATATCTTGACTTGAAACGCGAGCAAGAAGGGTAGGTATATATACGTCGAAACTTTCGTGCGTGATAATGTCGCGATAATCCGACCGAAGGGGGGGAGGGGGTCTGAAAATGTAAACGCGCGGGTGTATCGCATCAACCCTCCCGGTAACCCGATTAATCGGCGACGACACCCGATAGGCGCGTGCACGACGATGACCGAGTTCCACCGTGGCCCTTTTCGTCCTTCTCCCCCGGGAGATGCGCGCGTACGCGCGGGGTTATATGTACACACATGCACAAGCTCTGCAAAACGCCGCTCCGTTCTCTCTCTCTCTCTCTCTCTCTCTCTCTCTCTCTCTCCGCCTTGCCTGGGCTGTTGCTCTCCGCGCGGCGCGGCCGTTAGTCTCGCAGCCGAAGTAGTGCAACCCAGTTTCACGTCGGGCCGCAGCCGTCGCCGAGCGTCAAGCCAGCGGGAATGCGCCCCGATGCCGGTTACAAACGGATGAAATGCACCCGCCTGGAATTGCACTCGCCGTGTGATAACAGAAAGATACATAGCGCCGCGACAAACCGAATCGCTCGACGACAGAAAGGCTATTTTCAGTAGTGCCGCGGAAAAATCGAGATATGCCTTAATAAATTCTTTCCAGTCTCGTAGAAATAATATTGCAAATTTTTTTTACATCCCAATTCAATTTATAACTTGATAAATGCACGCTAAACAAATATCTAAATCCAATTCAAATATATTTTTTATTGAGGTACTAATTAGAATTTTTTCTTGCTTAATGCTTTGTGAAAAAAATTAATTGAATCAATATGATTATATGTTAAAATTAAAAGCCAAATTTAATTTGTGCTGTTTCTATTTATTTATGATAGATCAATAAATTTTATTTAACAAATTCGCTTTCTGAAAGTTAATATTGCTGCAGAGCAATTTGAGACACCCCAAAAGCAGCCTGAGCAAGTTATTTTGAAAGGAAATTATCTCAATGTACCTAATATACGTTTGTAGAGAATGAGTTGCTCGCGATAAGCCACGGCGCGGTCAAAAACCTTAAGAAAACAAGCTGGGATATAAAAATAAGTGTGAAAGGACGCGTTCCAGGCAGCGGAAGTTTCGACACTTCTCGTTGCTTCTTTTTCAAAGAAGTCGGCTGCATCCATATATATATAAATACATGCAGCATTGTGTAATACTGCGCTGTTCAACATCGTATCTTCACAGTCCTCTAAATAGCTTGAAAGAGTTTTAAACTTTAAAATTTGCTTCTATAGTTCCAAAATATTTAAATATGAAAATGTGAATAATTTTAGTATCACGTAAATGTTACATACCATTTTTATATTTAATATTTATCTAGAACGTCTGTCATTTTGTAGACAAACATTTTCTATTTTTATGTCAAAATGTTTGTTTCTATTCTTGCTTTATTTCGTGTTCATCAGCTGTGCTAATTGTCATTATTTATTAATAAACAATTTGGATGAACTAAAATAACGCCGAATACCTAATATGCTTCTGTAATTAAATCTTGCAATTGGATATAAACTGCTAATTATAATTCTATCACTTATACTAATTTTGCTATTTCAGTGGCAATATCAATTAATAACCATTAACAAATGTAAGTAATTTTTTAGGATTAATATCTAAAAATAATACCTAAAACTAAGTCTGTAAGTAACACTCTACATCTAGATTTTTACATCTCTTTAAGAGATTTTTTTTTTAAGAGAAGTTAAGAATTATTTGCATTATTTCATTTAAATTAAAAGGCGTAAAGCGATCAAATCAAATAAAGCCTGCATCTTATTCACAATTGATCCGTTAAATATCCCATCGCACTCTCGACATTCTCTTGGACAAAAATACGAAGAATTTTTATTCCCGATAGTCCAGAGCTAATTCCCACTGCTATAATCAGCGGTCGCTTCTTTTTAAATTAATCTAAGCCTCTCACTGCTACGCGACGTCGTCGACATTATACTCCGTTGGTGCAAAGGGATGTCGATTCCTCGTTCCATTTCGTTAGTGGGTCACGTCCATCGATCAGTATCGTCTACGAGGGAATTGAACGCGCGTCATCGTGCTCCGATAGAAAACTTGCGCGATGATTTTTCGTCCCGCTCTCGTTACGTAAACGTATGTCTCGTCGTACGACACGACGAGCGTTAAACCCGAGGCGAAACACTATCGCCCTCCGTGTGGGCGAATGATTACCCTCGATTTCCGTTTACCCCGGTAGGGTCGGAGGGACTGTTTGCGATCTCCCTTTGCGAAGAAATGTTTGCGATAGATCTGCGATAGGTACTTCGAGACCTGCGTCTGCGGATCGGAAACGCGGGATCGACCTGTTTTTGATATGTCAGCCACCTCGTTTACCGCAAGTGCTGATTGCTCATTAATGATATCTAAACCAATCACCGTAAGGTTTCGGAACGGTTTGATTGGTCCGATCGATTGGTCCAAATCGAATTACACGGTTAGCCGATAATTAAGTATAAATATAAAAAATCGTCGACCTCTCCCTCGCGTTTATTTATATTCTACGTTGCAAAGATTAATAAAATTAACGCGGATAATTTCATTTTCGATAAAAAAATAAAAGAAAGGCTAGATACATTTTTATGAAATTTTGTAAAACGGTTACCTATAGGGAGTGAATAATAATTCGCGTAATCATATTCCAATAGTGAAATAATTGATTCGATAGCCGATAAAAGCTTCATATACAGGTCTTATATGTACTTCCCAGCCATTAATATCGGTAAATATTTGAACGACTTGATTGTGGATTTACTGTGGAAGTAGCAATCATTTACCTCGACAACGATACCGAGTGTATCTGCTTACTTATCGATCACAAAAGCGATATTATACTTTTCACATCTTAACGTATTTGAGACAAACATAAGGGCGCGAGGTCAAAATCGAATTATGTTCTTGTTAGTTTGCAGAAAAATTGAGCGCAGCAAGTTAATTAACAAGTAAAAAAATAATTGGATTAGTCGATTAAGGATGCTACTTTTTCGATACTCTTTAATAAAAAGAATGGCTCTTTTTTCTCTCTGTATTTTTTTAAATATATTGTAAGAGATAAAAACGAAGTTAATCAAAATATTCTAATTTATATACTCAACATTTTATAAACCACTATATATACGAATTTATAACACCGTTATTTCATAATGATTAATTTACGGTAATTAATAATCGCAACACATTTCTCTGCATCAATTTTCTTCGTCCATCGATATTGAAAAAGGCTCTTTTATATGGCTATAGTTTTAAAAATTTCGAAATGGGGGGACCAGTTTCTTCTTTCGAAGAATTTATCACACACGAATTTTGTTAACGCGAATGCATCCGCAGTTTTTTCGTGCTCGTTTTGTCGTACTTGGCAATTCGATCGCAATCTACGCGTAGATCATCGTGATCGCTTCTGGCGAGGATCCAGCGAGAGTATCACCGGCAGAAATGTGCGGAATTGGCGGCTCCCGAGGCGACCACGCCGAGTCCCGAATCCGATCCGCATGCTTCGGCGCGATCAATAACGCGGGGCGTGCACCACCACGGCGTGCCACCCTCTTCCTTCTAGTCCCGGCAGGAGTCCTCGGCCGGCGGTACCCCAGCTGACCTTCGCAAGTCACGCATGATACCGTATAGCACGCAAATTTCCACGAGTGCACGCGGGGATAACGCACCGCGGTCACGTGTGACTGCCTCAACAATCAGTATTTTTTTTTCACACACATACACACAAATCTGTTCACGCACGGATCTATCACGCGCGCTACCAATCGTCGCCAATTGTCCTGCCGTTTTGAAAAACAATTTTGAGCATCAAAATAAATTACTAAAGATGTGGCAATGAAAACACCATCGACTTCTCTCTATCGGAATTTTATTGCAACTCGAGGGTACTCGAGAACGTTTCTGAATATCGAGAGTGCTGGGTGCCCCCCTAAAAAAATCCTCCTGCTCGAAGGTTACACACGGTTGTAGAGGGGGGAAAATGCAATAGAATGTATAAAGCCTTTGGAGAGCCAGCTCGTTCCCAAACACGAGACAAAGTAAATTTTATCGCCGCACTCTAACTCCGGCGGACCGTTCTCACCGTTCAATTCAATTTACGATCGCATGCACCGCCGCTCGACGCTTTCCGCGTCATATATAAACGCGCGGCTGCACAGAATAATATTTGTAAAATTCTTTCAAAAATTTAAAGAGTTCTGCCATTTGTTAGCTTAATACAAAACCTTACACGCGGCGAAATCCTCCGCGGACTGTCCCTTTCCCTATTTCGCCGAAAAAAAGCATCAAAATAAGAAGCACCATTATTCGCAAAAAAATAAGCTCTTTGACCATGTACGTTGTGTACAGGAATAATAATAAATACTAATATAATACTAATACAATAATATGGAATAATAATAACAAACATTTTATTCAGATTTGTAGCAGTTTTGGTTTTTCCTTATTCAGAATAGTTGTCGAGCGATTTAAATCATTAACTATTTATTTAAATCAGAAACATATTAAGTTATGAGTTTTATGTTTACATAACAAAAGAAAGAATCCATAAGTATAAAAAAAGAATTGATACTTTTAAATATTAAAGCAAAACTCTTCAAAACTCATCTAAAAGTCAAATGAAATTTATACATTATTTATACATCAAGTAAAAACAAAGTCTCCGACGGGATATTTTTGATAAAAATGAACTAAAAATCCGATAACGTTTCCCGATAGAATTTTAAATTTAACAGATTTTTTTCAAATAGTAGAATTTTGATTTTTCAACTGCATGTTGAATTTTTGAGAAACTTATCTCTTACAACAAGATTCCTTTCCTTTCTCAGTTTCCGGATCTACTCGGACGCCTGCTGCTACTCGGTGCCCAGAAATAATTCGTCCCTGATTCGAGACATAACTATTGACGATGAGTCTGCGACATGCGACGGAGCGAAGCCGCCGCCGCGCACCACGTGCGCCCGAAAATAGCTGCACCGGCGCGGCGCGGCGCGGCGCGGCAGCGGGAAAAGGAAACTGCACTGCTCGATTATCGGGAGTGTGTACACTTAGCGTTTCGCCAGACAAACGATAAGTGAGAAGAAATTTATCTGGTTTCACCCTCGATCGGAAATGTTAACAAGCTCGCGCAACAGCTCGTCGCGATACAGGTCTCACGACACATTTCCGCGCGAATGAATCAATTCCGTATTCTACGAGTGTTCCAATTAAATTAATCGTTAACATTATCACCCTGTCAAGAAACGAGTCGAGCGTATTATCGCGCGGGGTTTCGCTCCATCCAGCGTGACCCAGAAAAACCACCGTCGAAGAAGAATAGTCGCGCTCGCCGTTTCGCGAGTTATCTCGTGTGCATGAACACGTTGCGGCTTCCGTTTCCTGTTTTCAGACCAAGGGCCAATACGATAAAGGCGTCCTGCCGCGACGTTTTGTGGATTTGTGAAGCCATTCACGGAAAAACTCGTTCGCCACAGGCACGATAATTTTGCACGAGTAATAAGCGTATATGCAAATTGCACCGCCCGGTAGAGCCTGAGAAAGAAACTCAGCCAATATTATAATCTAAATATTCAATACTACGCGTATTCTTACTTCTCATTTATTATTTTATTTCGACAACAGACTATAAAATTTTTCAATTTTTCCACGATAAAAATATCGAAGTTGTAATTTTCGAGCTATAAATAATTGAAAAAAGAGTCTGCCTACAACAATTGGCTTTCAGATTATTATGTTCTATGTTGATATTTGCTAATATTTGCTAATAGTTGAATGACCACGTCTTATAAATTAGAGGAACAAAATGAGTAGAAATTCTAAATATATTTATTTGTTGCTAAAAAGTTATCAAAGAAAAAATGTGTTGCTCTGTTAGTTTAAAAAAAAATAATGTTCCGCTAAAGGAAGATTAAAGTTAAAGGGACAATATCTAAAAATCTCTAAAAATTGTAAGAAGTATCCCGCGCATGTCACATCGTCACATATTTAACTTCCATTTAGTAATTCAAACTAATTCATTTTGTTCTGTCTAATTTATAAGACGTTGAATAACCTAAACGTAATTAAATTAGTATCTTTATCGCAAAGTAACGAAGTGAAAATTTCACTGCGAAATTTCGTTCGCGGCACTAACGTCGCATTATCATGCATTTGAGACTGCTAAACAGACTACCTACTTCTCGTTTTCGCAACACACGTTGCGGCAAGAGCAGCCGCGCGTAAGAAGTGCGTTCAACGAGATGTCGAAAGATCCGCGACAGCAATTTTAATCTTTCACAGCGTGGCGGTGGAGGGACGACGGCGGTTTATCTCCGCCCTGCAGAAGATCGACGCGTGTAGCGTTTCCCGGCTCTTTTTTCACCTTGCACCACCGAGCGGCGGCGGCATCAGACGCATTGTGCTTGATATTTATTATTCCTCGCTGGTGTTTCCGGTTTTTGTCAGCGGCAGGAAGCGCGCACGTATCCCGTACGCACGAGCGATCTATCGAGCCCACCCTATCGATCACGTCGTGTGCCGATAATGCTCATTGTATCGGCCGATCTGTACATACCTTACTTGAATGGAAAACATTCTTTTCTCCGTTCGTTCTCTCGTGTTCCGAACCAGCGAGCGATATATCTTAGGTGAAGAATTTCTAAATATCGTAAGAAGTATCGCACGCGTGTCACATCATCGCATATTTAGTAACTTCTATTTAATTTCCCAGAGCTTTGCATAATAATATTCTATCTATATTATAATTTTTGTATATAACATTTAATATTTAACTAATTCAATTTTAATAATATCTTAATAGATATTTATAATAATAAAAATTATTTATAATTATAATTAATAAATATTATAATTATAAATACATTTTGATCTAATTAAAGTTTATTTATTTTATATTGCTTTCAACAGGCAATGATATGACATGATGTTAAAAATAATGTACGCAAACATAATATAATTGAAACGCTGATATAAGATAAGAGCATCTAACAAATGCAATGTGTGAAATTTCCCTTCTCACGCTTTAACTTACAATTAGTGATTTCGCTAAAATTAATTAATTAATTACTTACATTCGTGTAAAAGTCCACCTCCTTGTAAGGATTCACAGCCACCAGTATGGATCCCGTGTATGTCTGTAGTAATATCTGTGTTAAGGAATATAACAGCTCGAATAGCACTTAATAAATATAATCGTATTATATAATAATCCAGTCTGTATTAAATATTCAGTGACATTATGTCACTGTTAACACAGAGAAAGTACTGACATTCCATGCCGCTGACATTTTTCCGCGTTCACAGCCGCGATATGCGCCCTTTGTACCACAACGCGATACAAGTGCGCATAAGTGGGCGATAAATGAAGAGGCGCGAATTGCGAGCTAAAAAACATATGACCTTTTTAACGTTCCCTCGAGTCGCGATCGCGCTCGCATTCCGAGCAAACTCTATTTTATGGAGCGCGAACGGGAAGTTGCGCCAATCCGTTTTTATTGCAACGCCCTATAAAAGAGAAAACTCTCGAAGGCGAACGAAGCGTATAACGTGTCTGGTACAGAAATATCCAGACGTACACTCTCTCTCTCTCTCTCTCTCTCTCTCT